GGACCTGGCTCTAGCGGGGTTCTCATGGCTAATTTTTGGCCAGTAGGTTGCCAGGTCTCTCTGTCAAGTAGCCTATGGGTGGCCTCCAAACGTCAGCCCTTCAGTTAGTACCCCAGCTCATGAACTGTTTGCACCGGCCTGGGATACCAGGGGAAGAAACAGCTCACACGTCACATGCCCCAAACAGGACTGGCTGCCTCTGCCCCAAACCTATTCCTCCTGCAGTCCTTCGGACCCCACAGAGACGGCAACCCGGGTTGTTCTGGTCACAAACCTTGCAGGCCCCTTGAGGATTCTCTTTCACAATCCAAATCCTCTTTATCAGCAAATCCTACCAGCTCCACTTCCAAAATATTTCCAGACCTGGTTTCCTCTAGCTCCCATCCTGACATATCACTGTTACCACTGGAGAACCTGAGTGCTGCTCTGGAAGCCTGGTGGCCTGCTCTCGAGGCCTGGGCTTGAGGTGGGAAACAGTGTAGCACTGCCGGCTCTCTGTTATCTGTGAAGGTGACTTCAGGACCCTCCAGACCAGACCCACCCAGGCCTCTATTTAATGAGTACTTGCTGTGAGTCAGTCCTTCCTTGGGCCACCAGGGGACAGGATACCACTGTTGTCCTCAAAGAGCTCGCTATCTACTGAGCGGCCTGTCAACTAAGTATCATGCCTTTGTAACACACTGTGACATGGGCATACAAAGAAGGCCATGACTCGAGCCAAAGCTCTGCTTCCGGAAGTCAACTTGGACATCACCGGAGGAGGTGAGCGTCTGAGGATTCTCCAGCTCACTCACAGAGAAGAGGGGGGAGAGAGACACTCCAGGTGCATCCAGAAAACGAGCCACATTTCAAAAGATATTCATTTCCAGGTCGATCTCAATATCTAAGCTCTAAGAGGTAACCGAGATGACCTATCTTGTTTTGAAATGCTCTTTTCTTCATTTTGTAAACCATGGAAGGACTTTTAAAAACCAAACCAGAAAACCACCCGGAGCACTTTCTTCGGAGCATCCGCTGGGTCGAAACGAACACTGAGCCACTCACGTTAACTTTAAAGGTCTGCACCAAGCCATCTAAGAAGCAGATGCTGCAGCTGACTTCGGCCCGAGCTTTCTCTTTGGGGAGTTCTGAGGCGCGGATGTTATTAATTCTTCCACCCAACGCACGTAACCGGGAGGTCATAACGAGCGGTGAATAACCTGCAATGGAAGATACACGTGTTAGTCCTTCTCGGTGCAAATTACAGTGTACACGTGAGCGGACCGCACCGCCGACCCACACCCTTCCCACGTGTCAGGTTTGATCCGCCCAAGCCTGTCTGAGAAAGTCACAGATAACAGGTTGAGTCATGGACTGTGTTTCCATTTGAACTGTAACTTTGAAGGCCACCACCCAAAGAATCCTCCGTCATCAACTCAATTTCGCCCCACAGCGACCACAGCTGTGAAAACAACGTGCGAAATGCGAAACCTCAGCTCTCACTCGCAACCTTCCCAATTCAGAGCGAGCGTCCGCTGAAGATGTTGGTGGGCTTGACAGTGGCTTTCTGATTTGGGGAGTCCACTGCGGAAAGGAGTTTGAAAGTTGCTGTACACTGTTAAGGATCGTCTGCCCAGGTCCTACCTGAATACCATGGCTGTTTGTGAAAAGTATGTTTCATAAAGCTGGATACCATTTGGAAAAAATTTTTCGTTACATGTTCCCATGAACTTCTTGAAGTTCCTCCTCATACAAAGAACTCCTACAAGCCTTTAAGACCTTCAGGCTTAAAGGCTTGAAGGTAATCAAGCGGCCATCAAGCTCAGAAGCAACAAAGCCCACAGGGAAGCACAACAGCCTATGCGATCACGAGGTGTCAAAGGGATCAGGTACAAGACATCATCAGAACAAAAAACCTTACCATAGTGAATGATGGGGGGAGTGCGGAGTGGAGACCCAAAGCCCATTTGTAGGTCACTGGAAATCCCCTTGCAGAGGGGTCTCGGGGAGGAGACGAGCTAGTCAGGGGGCGATGTAGCAATGAAGAAAAATACAACTTTTCTCTAGTTCCTAAATGTTTCTTCCCCGCTCCTACTATCATGATATGAATTCTACCTTGCAAGTCTGGCTAGACCAGAGGATGTACACTGGTGCAGATAGGAACTGTAAATCCAGGGAATCCAGGGAGGATGATTCCTACAGGACCAGTGGTGTGGGTGGTGATACTAGGAGGGTAGAGGGAGAATGGGTTGGAAAGAGGGAACCAATTACAAGGAACTATATGTGACCTCCTCCCTGGGGGACGGACAACAGAAAAGTGGGTGAAGGGAGACGTCGGACAGGGCAAGATATGACAAAATAATAATTTGTAAATTGTCAGGCGCTCATGGGGGAGGTGGGAGCGGGGAGGGAGGGGAAAAATGAGGACCTAATGCCGGGGGCTTAAGTGGAGAGGAAATGTTTTGAGAATGATGAGGGCAATGAATATACAAATGCGTTTTACACAATTGATGTATGGATGGATTGTGATAAGAGTTGTATGAGCCCCTAATAAAATGATAATAATTTTAAAAATCTATTTAAAAAACAAAAAAAACTCCCAAAGAACTCCTACAAACAACTGAAAAAAAAACACCCTAGTAAAAAAGGGGGCCAATGGCTCAAAGATACTCAGCCACATTAGTTGTCGAAGAAAGGTCAATGAACACCCCCAGCAGGGGTGGCCCATGTCCACTAGACAGGCAACAAGGAGCAGACTGAGAAACCCAGGGCTGACCAGGCTGTGAGGCTCCAGTAGAGTGAGTGAGAATGGAAATGAGTCAAACGACTCTGAAAGACCTCTGTAGTAGCGACTCAAACGCAACACACATTCACCTGAATACCTGAAGGTGTGTGCATCGGTGACAGATCTATTCTGCTCCGAGGAATAGTCATAAGAGAAAAATGTAGTGTTTCACTAAAAGACATACCTAAGGAAATTCAAGATAGCACCAAATTGGCAAAGACGCAAATGTCTATCAACAGAGCAAATACACTGCAGCATAAGTCATAAGAGTGGTTTAGTTACACAGCAAAGGACATAAATAAACTACAAAGACATGCAATCGCATGAAGGAATTCTACTCTAACGTAATGCTGAGCAGAAGTAGCCTGATGCAAGACATTATCTATGGCATGAATCCATTCATTTATGTCAAGTTCAAACCACAGACAAAGCTAACCAACACAGATGAAAGGGCAGTGGTTACCTGTAGGTGCAGTGACTGGACCCTAGAGGACCCGGGGACTTCCGTAGTTCAAAGATAATGGATTTTCCCCATGAACTTCTTGAAGCGCCTCACCTAATGCGCTATTTCTTCATTGGGCTGCTATAGCCCCAGGTAAATTCACTGGGGGGATTCACCAAAGGCTACACTGATTTGTTCACTTTTTGGTCTGTATGTTCTATTTCAATATCAAGTTTACTAGGGAAAAAAAATGAAGAGTACATTTTCAAAAAGGGAATTAGAGGGTAGTTTAAAATCTGCCCTTGGTCTGTTCCCCAGAGAAGAGTATAAAGAAATTGGCTTTCCTAGTGAAGTCAATCGTGGAAAAATGGACTGGATGGTGGACAAGGTGAGTCGTGAATACCAGACCCCTGGTGGCATAGTGGTTCTGTGTTGGATTGCTAACTGCAAGGACAGCAGTTCGAAGCCACCGGCTACTCTGAGGAGAAAGACGGGCTTTCTACTACAGTAGAAAAACCAGTCTTGGAAATTCAGCGTCAGCTCTGCCCTGTCCTACAGGACTGTTCTAAGTCCGCACACACTCAGAGGGCACCGAGTTTAGTTTGGTGGTGAGCACTCAACTGTAGGCAAGTGGAAAGAATCCAGGTGCTAGAGCAGCCCCTCGGTTTAGGGCAGGGAGGTGCCTGAACCTGGAGGGTTGGGTGGGAGAGCTCATACTGGGGATAGGGGTTCCCAAGAACAGCTGGTCCTTTACTTCCATCTGGAAAGCTCTCCCCGTGCCTCTCACGCCTACTCACCCCTCAGCCCCAACATAGCTCCCTCAAGGACACCCTCCAGGGTTCCCTTTGTTGCGCTAACAAGCCCCAACCAAGTCATTAGTTGCCCTGGAATCTGAGCTGTTTCTGGCGCCCCAGGTGTGCAGGGCAGAGCCGCTGCAGAGGGTTTGCAAGGTGGGGACTGATCCCGGAGCAGCGTGCCAGCCCATCTTCTGTTTGAACCTCCGCCTTTAGGGCTAGTGGTTCAGTGCGAAGTCATCTGTGCTACCCAGGGACTCCTCCCTGACGAATCATTTGCTTGTACAGATGGGTCTCAGGTGCATCCTAACTACAACTGGTGATGTGATTGCCATCTGCTCTTCCCACAGAGCATGGAGATCCCAGGTCTGGTCATCAACTCTCTGAAGGAACCGGTGATGAGAGGAAGGAGATACAAAATGAAGATTCACAGTCCGGAAAAAGAACAGCCCAGCTGACACACACAAGGGCTGGTGGGAGAAGGCAAGAGAGGAGGGTCGAGTGAGGTCTCTAATCGAGAACAGGGTAGACCAGTGCTTCTCATCTGCAGCCAGATCACGTGGGCATGCTAGTAAAATGCAGACTCTGACTCACAGACCTGGGATGAGCTCAGGGGGCTCTGGTCCTCACAGGCTCCCAGGTGTTGGTGAGAGTCCACACCGAGTAGCGAACCGCAGGTGAGTGGGATGGAGATCAGGTGTCAGATTAGGGGCCAAGGCCAGAAGAGAACGAAAAACCAAAAAACTGCACATGACTAATGTTCGTGGCTGCTGAAAGAATGGAGGGCTGAAAGAACAATGTGGTGAGCTACTTGCAAACTCAGTCCTTCAAGCTCAGCCGAGCACAGTTCTACGCTGACACACATGGGGTTGTCACCAGTTGGAGCAAGTGGAGCCTGGCAGCTCTTGGAAAGAGGAGGGCACAGAAGGCAGATTGGATGGAGACCCAAGAACCATGTCCCAGGGAACCGCAGAGGCCAAGGTGTAAAAGGAGGAAACACAGAGATGGTGAAGGCTGTGTAGACCGGGAGGAAGAAGGTACTTTCAGACCAATGTACTTTCTGTACCTGGTCTCTTACCGCTATAGTTATCGCTTAGACTCACAGAGCTACAGGTAGCCCTCCGTTCTTTGGTACACAAGGACCCAAACCAAGTCAAGGAGCCCAGTGTGACTCTAAGGCCCTTCAGGGTAGGATTTCCCAGGCTGTACCTGGACAGAGGCAGATTGCCTCATCTTTCTGCTTGGAGTGGGTGCTGGGTTCGAACCATCGACCTTATGGTTAGCAGCCCAAGGCTTAGTTCACGGTGCCACCAGGGGTCCTCCAAGGCAGGGAGTCTCAGTTATTAACACAAACATCGGCAGTGGAAGGAAATGTGTTCAGTCCTTTTATAAAATCCCACCCCCCCACCCTGCCCTGTC